CAGTTACCTCTGGCAGCTTGCACCAGAGGTAACACCTCGTGAGGACAAGTGTCCTCACGAAAGCAAAGAAAAAAAGAAAAGAAAAAAAAGAAATAAAAGAAAATTTCTAACCTCCTCAATTGCAATGCTCCTGGCCGTTATTTGAGCCAGGAGCATGCAGTTGTCTGTCAACTGCCTGTTCCTTCCCTCTGCTGCCCTCCCCTGAAAACGGGGAGAACAGTTGTCAGGTTGGGAGGAGTAGGTCCTCCTTCCAACCACCCTGTTTCACTCTCTCTCCCTCTTCAACTCCCTTAGTCCCATCTCCACGCGCGCATTTGTGAGCCGCGAGATTTGAGATCTCGCGGCCACAGTTATTCTTCCCAAAACGAAGTTGGAGCTTTTGTGCTCCCACGCAGTCTGAGAAGACTGTTTTTTTTTTTACACGAGGCAGTTGCCTCGTTTGCTTTACTTTTTTTTTTCTTTTTTTTTTTTTTTCTGTTTCAACCCTTCCCCGTTTCTTCCTTGCTGGTCGTACCTCAACAGTCACGAACGGGAGAACAACAAAAACAAACAAAAGGAAAGGAAAAAGAAAAAAGAAAAGAAAACTAACCTCATTCGTTTTGTCTGCAATGCAGACGAACGAACGCCTCGGCAAACCCTCCCACAGTGGCCCTGCATACCTCCACTTTTGGAGGTAGCTTCATTCGATTTCGCCCATCCAACAGTCGGGCTGTTGGGGCACAGCCCCCTGATGAGTCGGTGCAAGTCTGACGAAACAGCCAGGCATCGGGCCTTACTGTACTACTCTTGAAATGCACAAAAGACAAAAATCATGTCGTTGTATCTTTCCATGTTCTAACGGAAGATTCACTCTCGTTTTGCACCTTTCGAGAGTGGTGCAACGAGGCCCATCGTCATGCTTCCCCGTTCGTTTTGGAAACGAACGATACACCAAACGAAATCTAACAAGAATCTATAATAAAAATTTAAGAAAAAAATCTAAAATAAAATCTAAGAAATAAAAAGAAAAAACAAACAAAAATCCTACTTAATATGGCTTCCCGTTTTCAACAGGTGCCTGTCACATCGCTATGAACTTTAAAGTCCCTGGTTACTTCAGAACGCGCCAGATGGCGCGCCGTTTTTTTTTTCTCGTTTATCTCTTTTTTTTTCCTCTCATTTTCTTTTCCAACGGCTGCTTCTCGCCGCGCCGTTTCGCCCTAGTGGCAAAAAACAGACAAAGAAAAAGACTAAAAGAAGAAAAAAAAAAAAAAAAGAAAGAAAACAAAGAAGTGAGAACTTACCTCGTGATGATATCCCGACAACTTCCCTAAAACCCGTATCTGGGTGCTTACGCGTTCAGATACAGGGCAGGTAAACTTTTCCCCATTCTCGTTTTTTTTTTCTCTTTTTTTTCAAAAAAATAAAATAAAAATTGAACCATTTCTTGATTTATGCGTGTCATCCTTGTGCAGGGGCCATGCTAATCTCTCGCGCGCGGTCGGTCTGGGCCGTGCGATCTTTGTGATTGACGGTCGAAGTCGACCGCACAAGCCATATAAAAGTGGCCAGCTCCAAAGGAAGCTAGCCCAGTGGCGTTGTACGTCAAATTCGATCGCGGTACCCGCTGGGTGAGAGTCAGATGGCAGTACCTACTGGGCTAGCTCCTTTTACGGGAGCTAAGCCCGCAACTCTTCTATAAGAAGAGCTGCCTCCTCGTAGGCCCAACTGCTGTAGCTAGGGCAGGCTTGGCCTGCCTCCCCTCCAGCCGCGTCGCCTGTCAACTCGCCAGGCGGCCCAACTTCATGGCTTGGCTCGGTGGCCCGCGGACGTCCACGAAACGACATCAGGCCCTCCGTATGGAGCAGACCTCATGGCCCGGCCTTTTACCCCCTTCGCATCGCGGCCCAACGTCTAGCGCGGCCACCCTTTTCAGCCTACTTAAACCCTGCATCGCGCGGCTTAGCTACATAGGTTTATTTTAACGTCCCCATGTCCGCATGTTCCTGCGGCTTCAAAAAAATGAAAACATGTTCATTCACATTTGTTACTCCTGGACGCCACACGCGTCCAGACTAAAGCCTGAAAAAACTTTTAGTCTATCAGCCATAAGTCAGGTCTGAATAAACTTTTTGACAAACATCAGTCTCATCAAGTCCTTCAATTTACCGAAAAAGTCAGACAACGTCCGACGTTGAAAAACCCCGGCAAATACCCTTGTCAGGGTGTTTGCCCCGACACCGTAACTCCTCAAGAATTCTTTAACGTCGCAAACAGGACGACGTGGTCAGTAGATCCTCTCAAGACTTTGACGGCCCGTTGTGCAGCCCACAACTCGGATTTTGGGCCTACCGTGCCACACCGAGCAGCCCGCCGGTCAGTAACGGCCCTTGGGAGGGTTCGTGTCCTCTGAGACAGTCAACGCCTTGGTCAACGCTTGGTCAACGGGGTCACACCCCGGTCAACGCTCCGGTCAACCCTCTGGTCAATGCCCGATTAACCCTTGGTCAACGCTCGGTCAACCTCCAAGTCGGCTATGGCTGCCAACACCTTCTTCCTCGCCACCCTTCACTTCCCTTTCCCCCTCCTTCACCTTTCTTCTTTCTCCTTTT